AAAAATATGGGCCAGATCCAGTATACCCCACCCACAGTGATGAAAAGAAAGCCCCATGTGGTGTCACAGAAGGAAGGTAGGCCTGCCTTCAGAATAGTAAACTTTTAGTCTGAGTAGTGCCACTTAGCTGTCCTTCGTTCTTTTGTACCTTCTGGTTCAAACACAAATGCTGTGAAATCGTTGTAGCAAAAGGCAAAGGGTGAAAAGTACATAAAGAGCTACCAAAAATGTAAGGGCTTCTCCCCCAGGCTTCCCAATCTCAATTCATAGTGCCATCCAATTGCCAAAGCCAAAACCAGGGAATTGTCCTTGACCACTCCCTCTCACTCACCCCCAAGTCCAAAGAAACATTAAATCCTACTTCCAAATTCTACTTCCAAAACACAGCTGAAGTCCAACCCCTTTCTATATTCCCACAGTCATCACCATCATCCAGGCCACCATTATTTCTCATATAGACTGCTGCAATCTACTTCCAGAGTGATCTTTTTAAAATACAAGTCTGATTATGCCACTCTCTTACATAATACTTCAGTGACTGCCCATTGCTCTTAGGATAACAAAACCAAACAAAACCCACATCTTAACATTGCCTGCAAGGCCCTGCATTACTTGGCCCCTGCCAAATTCTCCTGCGCTATTTCAAGCAGCTCTCCTCCTACATCATGCCTCAGGTAGTTAGCAAAGTTCCCTGGGAGCCCACCAGACTCAGGCTGCTTACACGAGCTGTTCCTTTTACCTGGGACATCATCTTTGCTGATCAATCCTGATTCATCTTTTAAGTCAGCCTGGACATTGCTGCCTTCCAAGCCCTCCTGGACTAGGCTAGCGAGACTCCTCTAATTCTACATGGTACCAGTTACAACAATTGTAATTTAAGTATTTGCTTTTGCACTTTTTTTTTCATGCTTACTCCCTCTGCAGCTGTAAATTTCATCTCAAGATAAGGAATTGCTACATCTGCTTTGTTCCACTGCTGTACCCACAGCATCTATAATACAGTGTCTGACTCTAGATGAATGAATGAATGAATGAATGAATGAATGATAGAATGAATGGAATGTCTAGGCAGGGGAGCAGGAAAGGTCTCCTAGAAGAATTAGCATGGAGAGGAGATGGTTGTGCTTGAAAACTTCAAGAGGCACAGGGCCTGAAAATGATCTGAGATATAACTTCCCTTATAATTGTGATCATCCAGGCTTCCTTTTCCTTCCTAAAAGTCATTGATTTAACCCAAATCCATCTAAACTTCCCCTCAGCCTGGTTTTCTGTCTGGGGAGAATGGCTGCTCACCCAGCTGTCCAAGACTCTCTTTCTGTTCCACCCTCTATCCAGACCCATTGCCCCTCCAGTCCCCTTGCCCTCCACACCCTTGGATTTGTGTAACTGAGTAATTGTGTGATGCTGTAAAACTAATTTGCACTTCTGCTTGGGCAGTGATGTGACTGGAGCTTTGCAGTTGGCCTTGAGAGGCAGAGCACAGCACCCCCACCCACCCTTAGCTCCCTCAGAGTCAAAGAACAAGTAGCCAGCCTTATCTGCGAGGCCCAGTAACAGAGGGCTATAACAGAAACCAAGCCAAATGCCAGCCATGGAAAGAAACTGAAAGGAAAAATCTTTCCACTGTGCTAAGTAAGACAAGATCCCTATCATATTCTCCCCATCTCCTGATAGAGTTTGCTGACTCAGTTTCCCTTCCCACCTTCCACAGGACTCTGTCAGCACCTGTTTTCTTGGTCACAGATTGGGGGATGGTGTAGCATTTCTCTTCCTGCCAACTCGAGACACACTAAGACCAAAAAGCAAACAAGAGGTGCCTCCCAAGGTTTGCCTGCCCACTTCCTAGGTTTGGAGGTATCAAGCAGCATAAAACTGGAAGACCTAAAAAGAATAAAAAGTGTTCCTGAAGGAGTATGTGTGTATGTGTGTGTGGAAGGTGGGCCACAGGAGGAGAGGCGTATGTGTAGATCACACAAGGATTCAATATTTCATACAATGGGAAAAAGTAAATAGTATTAAATAATAATAGCTACCATTTACTGGGCTTCTGCTATGTGCCAAACATGCTGTGAAGTGTTTTGTATTCAGTATTTCATTTAATTTTCAAAACAACCCAGGGAGATAAGCATTTATGTGCCCATTTTACAGATGGGAAACAGGCTCACTTAATCACACAGCTCGTGAGTGTCCAAGCTCCAGGATTGAGGTCTTGGTGCCTTTTGAACCACCTACTCACAACTGCTTTCCTAGGACTAGAGATCAGAAAGGAAAGGAAACTGGAAACTGGTATATGGTATGGCAGAGGGTTTGGGATTAGACATAAAGAATGTTCTGACAATGAGGGTCATTTGGTTGTAGTCAGGGTAATTAGGCTTGTAAGAGCTCTTCCTCTCAGGGCCTTTACATTTAAAGATGAATGGATGCTTCTATGCCTGGATAGTTTAAGGGAAGCACTCTGTGTTCCCAGCATGGGGCTGGCCTGTTTGAACTGACAGCTTCACTGAGGTACAAAATCGCCACACATGAAACCATTAGATTACAGGAGAAGATAGTACAGGATGTGTGCCAAATGGGGCTGGGAGAAAGCAAGGGCTATAGGAGGCAGATGCTACTACGGTTAAAAGCAAGAGCTTTGTAGTCGGGTGGACTTGTGTTTGAGTCCCTGCTGGCCCTCCTCCTTGTATCACCTTGGGTACATTCCTTAACCTTTCTAAGCCTAGGTTTCCTAGTCAGTAAAGATGCTAAGAATGGGACCTACTTTGGAGGGTTGCCATGAAAGTTTTAAAAAGATGATACATATAAAGTGCTTGGCCCAGAACTCGGACATAATAAGATACAATGAATGGTAGCTGCTATAATAATTGTTATTGTTAGAGTCCAGAGGTGGGAGAGAGCAGCAGTACTGAGGAGAGCTGTACATCAGTCAGTAGCTGAGAAAGTCTTCCTGAGAAATTCAAGTTTTATTCTGGATCATGAAGAGCTCGTCAGGTAAAATCAAAAGAAAGGAATAAGGACAGAGGTAAGGCTCACATAATGGAGTAAAACTTCAAATTTTCTATCTTAAAAGAAAACATAGTTTAATCTATGGTTGAACTAAAAAAGGAAGTTGATAATGGGGAATGAGGTGGTGGAAAAAGATGGGAGGTCTTCTATCCTTGTTCACAAACCCAGAATTTGAATAGAAACAGAGACAACCTCAGAGACCTGAACTACAATAGAAATCAGGCACATAGGATGATTTGCTCCCTTCCTCTGAGATCTCATTGGGGTGAATAAAGGAGAAGGGACATGGAAATATGACTGGAGGCAGAGCTGATGATGGATGGGGGACAGAACCTGAAACAGGGAAGTTAGGGAATGTGGGTAAGGCCCTGAAGACTGTGTGGGCTAACTCACATTGGGAAGACCTAACTTTAAAGCTGGATTGCCATGGGTATCCTGTTAGACAAGAAGCCAGTTTTGAGATCCTGGGCATCTCTCTTCTTCAGTCCTGCTAGCTCAGAGTAGGAGGCCCTCTGGGAGCAAAGACTGCTTTGTGCTAATCCATTATTCTCTGACAGCCTACTTATCTCCCTGATGTGAAGATAAACTCCTTAGGGGCCAGGATGGTTCTCAAGGAAAGATGCTATTTGTTTTAGACTCTCTATGCTTAACCCTCTGTCAAGTAACAACTATCAACCCCTTATATCAAGCATCACTGGGCCTTTGTTAAAAAAATGCAAATTTTCATTTTTTTCCCCTAGGGAGTCTGATTGGCTAGATTTAGGGACCAGGTGTGTGTTTTTAACAAGCACCCAGGTGATTCTTTGGGTAAAGCAAATTCAAAAAACACTGAGTTAGATGATCCCTTGAATCCCTTTCAGTCCAAACCTTAAGCAGCAGAGTTTAGTAGGAAGAGCTCTGGGTTTGTAGTAGGAGGCAAATTTTGGCCCAGCCCTGACCCTGCAGTTCATGGGAGTCTGGCTCTGCTATTGTTGTCCTGCATGCCTGGGTGCTTGTACCCTGCATGCCTGGGTGCTTGTACCCTGCATGCCTGGGTGCTTGTTGTCATCTTTGGTACTGATCAGAACTGTGCTGGGGAAGATCTAGAAGGGAAGGAGGCTGCAGCACAGAGGAGAATATTCACCTATCTGCAATTGAGATCTCAGAAAACAATAGGGGGACCTTGATTAAACAGAAGTGATAAATAGACATCAGGGAACAAGAGGTTCCAAGTATCCCCATGGGGCTTTCTCCTACATGGGATTAGCAAGACACCATAGGTCTCAGCAACTGCCACTATACACAGGGTGACACTTAGGCCCAGAGAATTTTAAAAATGTGCCCACAGCACACAGCTAATCAGAGGAAGCAGGAATCCAGATACCCCTGCCTTCATCCAGTTCATTGTTGGGGCGAATAACAGGGCACTCCTATTTTCTTGGGGCTTTTGGAGAGCCCATGATGATCAAGCTCCAGTGTCCTGAGTCCTGAGTCCTTGGATAGTCTCCCGAACGGCCTGGAATCTAACATTTCCCTGGATTTGCTCAGCCTATTACTGAGAATGGGGAGAGAAAATGGGGATCTGAAGAGGTGGGCAGGAGTGAGGAAAGGCCATGAATGCGGGAAGACAGGGAGACTGTACTGCACAAAGGGCTCACAAAATGCGGGCGCTTCGAGGGCTGCAACCAGAGAGGTGTCCTGACTTAACCAAGATCTCATACGTGAAGGATGTCAAAGCAGGCAACAATTTCAGCTCCCCTCCCCAGACTAGGGCAGTCAAAAGGCTGAGTGAGAGGTGAGGTCTAATTTTGCAGAAGCTTTTTAGAAATCCGCTTTGTCAGAGAAACTAAAAGGCCAAACAAAACCCCTAAAACACCAAGCCCAATTATTTCATCCACGTGGCACAAGAACAAGCCAAAAAAGGGGGGCGGGGTAAGAGTGACCCGTCCCGCCCCTGCTGGGAGGAAGGGATTTGCTGGGAGAGCCAACCCCTGACAAAGCCCGGTCGCTGACGGGACGCGGCAGGGAGGGAGGGATATTGAGTAAGCCCTTTTCCCACAAAGCCGCTGTGCAGCGGTCCCCTCTCCCCGCCCGGATCCCCTGGCTGTCGCAGGAGTGCGGGGGAGCCGCTGCGGGCCCTTTAAGGGCCGAGAGGTGCGCGGTCTCTTTAAGGCAGGTCCGGGTGGTTTCTGTTTTCTGAAGGAAGTGACGGGGGGGTGGGATTGAATGAAAAGTGCAAAACAGAGTCTCAGCGCCGGAGTCGGGGGCCTCTGGAGCCCCGGGAACGCCGTGTCCGCCTCAGGGCAGCTGGGGGCACTACGCGGAGCGCAGCTCACGTGCGTCCACGCCACTTTGCGGGCGACCAGCGGCTGAGCCTCCCGGGAGCCGCTCCTGGGCGCCCCCAACTAACCACTAACTTCGAGCAAAGTTTGGCAGCGCCTCTCCCCGCCCGCACGCGGCGTGCCGGGGCCGCAGAGGGCGATGCGCCTGCCCGGCTGCCACGGGGTCCCCACGGCGTCCCGAGCGCTGTTGCTGCTGCCTCTGCTGGTGCAGCTGCTGGGGGCGCCGCGCGGCGTGGGCGCGGGGGCGGGTGCGCCCGCAGAGCTGAGGGTCCGCGTACGGCTGCACGACGGCCAGGTGACAGAGGAGAGCCTGCAGGCGGACAGCGACAACGACAGCATCAGCCTGGAGCTGCGCAAGCCCGACGGCACCCTCGTCTCCTTCACCGCCGACTTCAAGAAGGTGAGGCACCCTCACTTTCCAGGGTGGGACCTTCGAGCCTGAGTGCTGAGGCCTGCAGACAGTAGACTGAGGCCAGGAGAAGGACGCAACTTACCCATGGTCACTCTGGGCTCTTCTGTACAACACTTGGCTCCTCTCCCCAGCGCCCAGCCCCAGCCCCATCATTCTCTCCGACGAACTCCTTTGCTTGTCCCCTCGGTGTCCGCCTTCCAGCCTTTCGCCCCTGTGCTCTGGGTGCCCAGGCTGCATCCCTGACCAGCCCTTTCCTCACTTCCTCTTCCAGCTCTCCCAGGGCCTCCAGGTGCAGACTCTCCTTCAAAAGCCAATATTAACGACCCTGACTTCCTCGTGGAGTAATTTATGTTTGCTCTTTAAGAAAAAATACAGGGCTAGGGATCAGAGATCCGGGTTCTCGCTGTGTGATCTAGGGCAATTGCCTTTCCTTCTCTGGGCCTCTTTGCTCACCTCTTTATAAAACAATGAAGAGGCTCTAGGCTTTGCAGCTCTGACATCTTGGAGTCTGTGAGCCACCTTTCCTTCTACAGTATTTCACTTTCCTGGGCTGGGGGGGAGGGGATGCTGAGCAGAGCTGATTGTCTCTGGTCTGTCCCAAGCTGAGGAGATGATACCTCTCCTTTCTGATCTGGAAAGCTGGGAAGCTTGCAGCAGGAGGACCTGGGGAGAGGCCCCAGATGAGGTCCCCATGCTCTGAAATGCCAACCCTTATGCTACCTGGAAGAAGGACTGGCCAACCTCCACATTTTGGCTCAGACTGTGGGAGGGGAGCAGAGATCAGCCTCTACTCAGTGTGTGTGTGTGTGTGTGTGTGTGTGTGTGTGTGTGTGTGTGTGTGTGTGTGTATGTTGTGGAGGGAACCAAAAGGTGGACCTGGAGCCCAAGGTTGGAGGAGAGTGGAGAGTGGAGATGCTGGGGGTTTATCAGCAAATGGGCCTGGAAGAGTGGTGAGTGACTGACAGCGACCCAGCAGCAGGAATCCTGGAGGAAAAGAGGGTGGATGACGTGCAAGTGCTCAAACGGAGTCTCTTGATCCTCTACACCATACCACCAGCCCCTCTCTTGTTAAAGAGGCCCTGTGAGGCTCTGTCTCTGGGGGAATAGAGAGGTGAAGCCGATTACATACCCGGGTAGCTGGGGAAGGCCAGGGCTGTGGGGACTGTTGCCTGAGCCACATCTCTCTTCTCCATTTTAGAGTCTTAGAGTTTGAAAGGAGAGGGGGCAGAGTTTGGGGAGGCAGCTAGGGACCTAGCAAAACTGCCATAGATAGAATGGGGGCGGGCGGGGCGGGGATCCAGTGGACAGTGAGGGAGGGCTTGACTGTTGATCTGTCCCAGGGCTACTGAGTTGTCATTGACATGGGAAATGTAAGGTCTGACAATTAAGTTCCTGAACTTGTTGCAACAATGTTGCTAACCTTTTCTGATATCAGAGGGATTACTCATTATGAATTTGTAACAACTGGACAGTTAACCAAGTTTACTATTTGGAAGTGCTGGAAAGGCTGCGTGACAAAGTTAGATGACCTGAACTTTTCGCCAGTAATTCATGGCGCTTGCATCACGACAATGCACCAGCTCATGTGGCATTGTCTTGGAACACCCTCCCCACTCACCTCATCTGGCCCCCAGTGACTTCTTTCTTTACCTGAAGATAAAGGAAATATTGAAAGGAAGACATTTTGATGACATTCAGGACATCAAGGGTAATCTAATGACAGCTCTGATGGCCACTCCAGAAAAAGAGTTCCAAAATTGCTCTGAAGGGTGGACTAGGCCCTGTTATCAGTGCATAGCTTCCCAAGGGGAGTACTTCGAAGGTGACCATAGTGATATTCAGCAATGAGGTATGTAGCACTTTTTCTAGGATGAGTTTGCAAACTTAATTGTCATGCCTCATAGGTAGATGTGGGAGGTGGGAGGAGGGTGAGTGGTCACGGATCGGAAGATTTTGTGGCCCTTCCTTACTCAGCAGGCCCCAGCTAGGTTCTCAGATTCAGGTAGGGCCAGGTAAGTTTGTGTGTGAGGAGACGGAAGCTGGTGGTGCCACAACACCTCCTGCTTCCCCACCTAAACTCCAGGGAAATTTTATCAACTGTGTTCTTTTCCCAGAAAATCCAAATAGTGGCCGGATCTCTCAGGAGGCAGTCATCTAATCTTCCCCTCTAACTGAAGCCCTTTGCCCTTGAAGCAAGTCTCTGGCTAGGCGGAACCTCCCACCTTTCTGCCTACTGCCCATTTTTCTATGCGTTGGAATCCTGGCGAGAGACTCCAGCATCACTGGGACCTCTCCAGCAGCCAAGGCTGTGGCTAGGACATCAGTGAAAGAGGCAACAGGTAGAGCTAAGCTTTTACAGAGCCTAGCTGCAAGACGAAATATTTTATTACACTACCCTGATGACAAGGTGAGGGGAGAGCTCAGGTGGCAGTGCGAATTAGGGCTGAGAGTATAGTCTGAGGGCTGACTGCCCAGTTAGAGACTCCGTTTGTTGCTGATTGCAAGAGCCCTGTTTTAATTCCCACAGCAGTTCAAACCTCCACCCAGATTTCTGAAGTCTGCTTTTCAGGTTAGCCTCTGACCCACAAGCTGGTGTTTCACACCCGCCCCTGGCATCTCCAATTTCATCAGCAAGGGCGGGAATTGGGAGTGGAAGGCACAGAAAGAGAACCAGCTCTCCAAGGCCCCTCCAGCTCTGTGTTTCTCAGTTAGCCCGGGGCAGGGTAGAGTTGGGGAATGCCCAGGTCGGGTGGAATAGCCATCATTCCCAACCTAATCCAAAGCCTCCTGCGGTGGAGCTCCTTATTTTGTTGCCTGCTCAATCCTCAGGCCTGGATGTAGCGTTTCTTTTGTTTCGTGTACCAAATCCATTTGGGGTAGTTTGGGAAAAGTCCCTGGTCTGCTTGGGAATAGTGACATTTGCCATGTTATCACATTTGGGAGACAGTTCAGACTGAAATGAGACAGACCTGGTTTAACCCTGGGCAAATAATTTGCTCGACTTCTGTAAGCCTTCGTTTCTTCATTTGAAACATGGGGTTAATAATAGTACCAATCCCATGGTTATTGTAAGAACTAAATGGGAATGCATGCAAAATACTCATTATGTGTAAGCTGTTGTGCTAAGTGCTCAAGAAATAGAAGCCATTAACTTTCATAATTGTGGCTCACATGACATCTCATCATGGACCCTCCCTGCTAAGCTTGGGCTCAAAGAGGTTGAATGATGGACCCAAAGTTGTACAGCAAGTCAGCACTGAGCCTGGAGAAGGCTCAAGTCCCCTCACATTAACCTTCTCTTTTAAGTGCTATTTATTAGAGTTCACCAGAAAAACAGAAACAATAGAAACACATATAGAAACAAACACACAAACATATGTAGATATATAGAAATAGAGGTAACATGAGGAATTGACTCCCATAATTATGGAGGCTGAGAAGTCCCACTACCTGCCATCTGCAAGCTGGAAACCCAGGAAAACTGTTGGTGTAGTTCCAGTCGAAGTCCTGAGAACCAGGTGCACCAGTGTCTGAGGGCAGGAGAAGATGGATGTCCCAGCTCCAGCAGAGAGCAAATTTACCCTTTCTCTACCTTTTTGTTCTATTCACACCCTCAATGGATTGGATGATGCCCACCCACATTAGTGAGGGTGATGTTTACTCAATCTACGGATTCAAATGTCTCTTCGGGAGACACCCTCACAGATACACCCAGAAATAATGTTTTACCGGCTCTCTAGGCATCCCTTAACGTGCTCAAGTTGACACATAAAACTAATCATCAAACTCCAGAATTGCTGGCCAGCCCCTTAGCATGGAGCAATCATCTTTGTCCTGCCATTCTACCCAGTGTGGCATTTAGCCCCTTGTACTGGGTGCACCACAGCCTTGTGTCTGGCCGATCTTACCTCCATACTCAGCCTCCTCTCTATGCCCCACCCCCCACTCTCTCTGTTTGCCTCTGCCAAGATCAGGGTCTGGCACTCCCCACACTGCCACACTGGACCTGAAGCTGGTGAAGCAGTAACAGTAATTGGCCTGCTGCAGGACACATAGCCTGGAGCCCAGGTGAGGATTACAAACACCACAAGTAGCTTGGAGCTATCAAATGGCCATTGTGCATTACTGCATGTCTTGCCTAAAGACTGCTAACCGTAAGGCAGATTGAGCTGTGGCTCTAAAAGACAAGCCATAGCTCAGTGGCTCTCAAACTTTGCTGCACATTAGAATCACCTGGGGAGCTTGGAAAATCCCAGTGCCTGGGCTGCTGTCCATACCAATTAACTCAGAATGTCTGAGGATAGGAGCCAAGCAGCAGTATTTTTTTTTTTTTTTAGAGGCCCTGGTGATTCCAATGGGCAGTGAAGTTTGGGAACTTGGCATAGCTGCTCCAGGAAAAAAGAAGGGACTTGGAAGAACAACCAGGTTAGACTGTCAAATGAAAGTAGATCCCAAAGTGAGTCACCTATTGAAGCCTATCATTCTACCAACAATAACCCTAATGTGTTTAAACAGCATATAGACTTTAGGCCTAATTCTACATACCCTCAGGACAGAACTCCAATTCGTAGTACACACTCAATGGGCAGCGCTCTTCTTTCTAATGCAAATCCTATATATGTAATTATACCCACATGTACATACTCACTGGGCATATCTAATAGCAGGCATGTCACCATCCCCAGTCTCTAACCTGGCTTTTTATATGACAGTCTTCTTGGTCCCCCTCCCCCAAGCTGCTGTCCTTGTGCAAGTTCTCTTTCCCCTTTGTCCCCCAGTCTGAGTGTCCAAAAGCTGGGGGAGGTGATGAGTCATGTTCCAGGCATAGTTTGGTGTTGACCTGATGGGGAGGGTGGGGCTGAAAGATAAGAGAAAGTCATGTGCAACTGCTTCAGTGTGGTGGATGCAATGAGACCAGGGAGGAAGGGGCCACAGACTCCAAAAATGTGGTGATTGTGAGGGCCCCGGGCTGGAGCCAAGATAAGGGG